TCGTACGTCTATTCCAGGAAAAACATTGACAAACTTATTTAATGAATAGTGTTTAAATTGTTTTTTTTTTTAATCTATTATCTACTCGCGATGTTACCTTAAACTAGAATTATTATAATCATTGGTACAATAAATCTACATTAAATCGTGTATTTAATGACATTGGACTAAATGCCATAACTAAGTCAGAGTAATAAATAAATGCAGTATTGTGGTGATGTAATAAAGGTTATTGAGCATAATTAATAATTGATTTAGAATCGTAATCTGTCATGTTTGTATCTCCATATCTCCATTTTGCGTTTTAGCAAAATTTATGCATGAAACCATTTACGGAAGTTAATCTCTGCTGCTCATTCATCTGAAACGACATCCCATTACGCCATAGTCACGAAGATAAGATGTTTATTCATCAGATAAAAAAATAATTAGGATATCAGCGTCAGGTCGGGCGCCTACAATATTATTTATTATCACATTGTTTAGGGGCATTTTCTAAGTTCTCAAAATTAGTATAGTCTTCTTAGGTATTGAAAATAACAATTATGTGTGAATGAGAAGCTGTCTACAGATTAGATGTATCTCGAGCCTAACTAATTAAAATTAATGCGCACGTTGCTAGTTCGAGTTTTTCGCAATTTTGCTGATTATGTGGAAATCAAGCTTTTTTTCTTAGTTTCAAATACTTATATGTACTATAATTTTGCTGCAATACATATTACATAATAAAATGATTATACAATAATAAACAACAGGATAATAATATCATTTCCCATTGATTTGGAAAAGCCAATGCACTGCTGGCTGCCATGGTGTTAGTTGTTAGTGTAATGTTTATAGCCATTTTTTTATGCAACTAACGGAACAAAGGATGTATTCACATAGCCACTGCTGGGCCACTTGCACGTGTTACACCAGCCTTTGTTTTATAAAAATGTCACACGCCTTCACGACTCACGATCTTTTCGGTCATATTGAAATGCCGCACGCCCTGCATAAGGCACGTGGCAATGTGAATATACCTTTAGGCTGTTCCAGATTTTGTATAGATGGTCATCCATTACTCTATCATCTCCTTACGTTTGACACGCTCTTTACGGGAAATCCTGGATATAGCTTTAGGTCTCTGTCACACTACTAGCGTTGTTTGATCAGGTAACCATGTAAGAAGCCTCTATCAAATGATAAATTAGTAAATACTATGATAATTTGAGACCGCAATCGGAACGCAGCATTTTGGTCAATCAATGGCTTCAAAAGAAGACTCCCGGGGAGTCCCTGATTTTTTATTGTTACATGAACCTTGAAATTGCTGAACACGCCATAAAGTTTGTTTTCATTACAGTGCGTGATACATCGCGATTTTAATTTATGGGAGCGTGACTTCAAAATAAGATCAGAAAACTTTTATCATCAGGTTTTAACGAACGAGCATGATGCGACATTAAACATTATGTAATTGCAAATATTTTAACTTTCTAAATTGTATACGAATTAGAATTAGAAACAAATTCTTAAATAATTTATTTATACAATGAAAGAACCTCGTAGATACGACTAAGAGCAATTAATCGGAAGGTTGTGTTCCACATATTTGTTCTTCCATTATTTCAGTGAGAGAATATGGATATTTTGTAAACATTAATTTTGTTATCTAGTATACTATCAGTAGACAACTTGTCATGTCGCATGGCCGTAACACTGACACGGGCGGGACCTTGACCAGTGACCCATAAAGCCCACCGTCCAGCGAGCCCCGCCCGCCTCGTTCAAAATTCATGAGCAGTAATCACTCCACATTTCTAAAGTAACTCCGTGAATGATGCCTTTGATTTCCCTTTGACCAAACGGCTGAAGTGTTGTGTTACTTATTGTCCTTTCACGCCAGGATACAACAACAAGTTACAAATAGGGACAAAAAAAGGTTGACCAATAAAGAAAATTTACCGACAGCAATTTCAAATTAATCTGAATTATGATTCAAAACTAAATTATGCGAAAAAACATGTTTAACTCTGGGCCCCAATTACGCTAATTTTGTATTGGAGACGTTAAAAATTAGCGTAATCGGGGCTCTGGATATCGATCATCGTTTCGCTTTTGGTAGAGCCGCTGCCGCGCTGAAGTGTCCAGATTATGATAAGGATTGAGAACTATAATGCTGATTAGGGCTTAGTGCTCTTTCAAATAAGGCGTTTTGAGCAGGACTTCAGCCGTGCGTTTGCAAGACCGTACACTAACTTTTGATACTGAACTGTAATTTTTCTGTTCCAACGCAGCTATCAGAAAATTGTCCTTTTTCTGTTTGCTGTTCTGCGTCAGTTGTCCATAATTGGACAACTGACGTACTTTTGAGCCGGACATCATATTTGAAAGATCCATTATGTTACGGAAAGGGGTTAGTTGAACCACACCTTCATTAAAATTTGGCTAGGCTGCGACCCACGGGCCGGTAGGAAAGCGCCTAAAGTTCGAGGACACACATGGGCCGGCATGACCTCGAAATAATTCGAGGAACATCGATCAATCTGCACCTGCACTACTTGAATATTTCCATTCAATTTCCGAGGCTCATATTTACTTTACGTGCTCACGGAGGTGGAGGGCCGAAATCGATTGTTAAGACGCACGTGGCAGTAACGTGAAATATTCAATCAAATCGGACAGTAAAACCCTTTTAATGATTCACACATAATACAAACACTTCAGGAAATAGTGGTTATGGGTCCCTTAACGCACATTGGTGCTAACGTTGAGTTTGCGTGCTGGCTTTCATGAATTATTGTGACTCTCAAGCGGCTGTGGGAATCCAGTTAGTGGAGTAAACATCATGAAAACTTTAGCGACCAGCGTGCCGTGCAAAGCGGCTTATTCAGTAGGTGTGCCGCGGCCGCGAAATAACTTATAACTACGTCTGAGCAAACAATGTCTCGCTTGTTAGATATTTACGAAAGAACAAAGCCACATACCACACAGAATGTTCATTTCAATTTAAAATAAAATTTAGATAATTAAAACAGGTAACGCTTGTGATCGTGACTTACCTACTAATAAATAAATCTGCTTGATACCTACCAATGGAAGAAAGCGCGTGCATTTACTGGAATTAGATATTATTGCTGGTTGGTAGGCTTCCAAGACCGTACACTAACGTGCAACTAACCCACCAGTGAAAACAATAAAGAGTGAGATGTTTGCTAGCCATAACTTTTCTTTTTGACCGTAAAGTTCTCTTTCGTAGCCACACCTACGGCCATAAGATTTGATGACATGCTTGGGGATGTAGGTTAGGTACTTATTATATTTTGGTATAAAGTAATATTAGTCCTGTGGTGAAGAACATTATGAATAACTAGCTTTCCGCCCGCGGCTTCGCCCGCGTGGAATTTTGTCTGTCACCGAAAATCTTTATCGCGCGCGTGTCCGTTTCAAAAACCGGGATAAAAACTATCCTATGTCCTTTCCCGGGACTCAAACTATCTCTATGCCAAACATGAAAATCGGTTCAGTGGTTTAGGCGTGAAAGAGAGACAGACAGACGAGAGTTACTTTCGCATTTATAATATTTATAGATTAGCCTACTTTATTTATAACGAGCGCGATATAAAGATAATGAAACTTATAGGTAAGATAGAAAAAGCTTGTAAAAAAGGGTTTCTTCTTGGGGGATAAAAAATTTATGTGACAATCGAATTTTGCGCGGGCGGAGTCACGGATCTAAGCAAGTCACATAATAAAATAAAAAGTACCGAAAATGTATGCTCTATAGATGCTAAGAACAGATTTTACGAAACTCCAGCCCTAAAAGGCTGGCGACACACTTGACGGAAATGACGTCGCGGGTTTTCCGCCAATTCAAGCTATTGCTATTCCGCGACGGCTTTTCCGTCAAGTGTGGCAAAGGCCTAAGGGAGTAAAACGGGGTCCACGCGTACGAAGTCGCGGGAGAGCCGCTAATACTGGATAAAATTGATCTAGAAACGTATGAAGCTTTGAAGTTTCAATTTGTGTAGGTAGGTACCTACTCTTTGCTATTAATATTATGTAGGTACCTACTACCAATTACATTTGATTTATGGAACAAGCAGTATTATCACATTCCTACGTCACATTCAATTCTATAACATTACTAGCGGCCGCCCGCGACTTCGTACGCGTGGATCCCGTTTTATCCCCTTTAAATTTTTCCTGAATTTTCTTTACTATAAACCTCACGGAGCCCGAGACCTTTCCAACGAATGCAAAACCGTGGAAATCGGTTCGTGCGTTCTGGAGTTATAGCGTCAGGGAGGAAAACCTGACTTATTTTTATATAGTAGATAACTTTTTTATTTAAGATTTATTTTAAAACAAATGTAAAATAGCAGAAATTGAAATTATTTTTTTTGATTGAATTAAATTCATGAAGCACAATAAATGTAAAAGCAAATTCAAGTATAAAATTCCATTAAAACTAAATTAACCCACAAACATTTTGGTATGTTATTTATTTATTGTGGCAGAATTAAATTAATTATTTTTGGTAAATTAATCTTCATATTTATGTTGTGAGAGAAATAAATAAATTATTATTATTATTATTAATATTGGACTCTACTTTTAATTTATTATAATAATTGAGAACTCTTGAGAAATCTTATTACCATACCATAATAAAATAAAGTAGGTTTAATTATCTTGTCGAAAAATATGTAAACATGAATGCAATTCTTGACATTGTTTTGCAATAGCAGATTGCATCAATGAGGTTCTCTTATGTCATACATAAAATGCAATTTAGCTGCAAAATTAAATTTAAATTGAAAACTATTTTTTACAAAGTGTAAAATGCCATGTCATGTTCTCAAACAATTTGAATGGATTTAATTACTCATAGTAAGCATAGATTCAAGAAACCAAATGTGCTTGTTACTGTGGTTTGAAATGCCTCATGTTGTGTAAGTAATATGACTAGAAATAGGTAAGTAACGTCTAAATAATAAATTATTTTTTGTACTCACTTTTTATACACCCTGCAGAAAGAATTGTTTATTCTTTTGTCAGATAAGTGTCTCCTTCGGTCCTCAAACAAGTCCTTGATGGCCGTCACACCGAGCACAAACACCACGGGCAGCATGGCCACCTCCTTGCCGAACGCATTGATCGCCGGCACCCAGTTCAACAAAACTATAAATATAAAGTACACATTGGCAATCCTGTGAAATTGCTCGAACAAGTTCTTTGGTAAAAAGGACAACAGCGTGTATTTCGTAGTCCTGATTTTGTTATCACATCTCTGTCCGTTCGGGTGGTCCTTCAGGGGGGTCTTGTCAGGCACTAAGTGGTTGGGGATGACTACCAGATGTCTGGTGTCTATGGCCGGCTGCTGGCGCCGGATCATCCAGAAGAAGGCGCGGCGCCAGGGGCCCACTTCGGAGCTGCGGCGGATGGTGTATATGGAGTCGGAGCGCGACGCCTGCCGCGAGTGGTGCACGCGCACCGAGCCCGCGCGGGGCTGCGCGCTGGCCGGCGCGGGCTCGCGGTGCCCGGGCGGCAGGATGAAGTCCGTGCGGCTGCCCGCGCGGCTGTGGCCCGGGCCCGAGGCGGCGCGCGGCCCGCCCTCGCCGATCTGGCCGTGCGACAGCGCGCGCTGGTGCCCTCGCAGCGCCGACTTGAGAGGCCGCGCCGCCGCCGGATTCCCCGCGAGCATCGGAGTCCCCCCATGGCTTATCGACCTCGAGTGCCCCTTCGCCTTCGGAAATAGATACGTCTGCTCCGGTGCCCCTGGCAAACTTGGTACAGTCGAGGTGGTCTCGCCGCTTCCTTCTGTTGACATTTTTATTCATCTGAACAGAAATCGCTTCGCTTTTTCCTTTCATTTAAAACTACGATGATTCGCCACACGGTATGTTTTGATATGGTCGAGGGGAACGTGTAGGAAAACTGAAACATATGGTTTGAACTGTATGTCACCTGTTCACTATTTCACACATCACACACAATCATTCATTTTATCTTCGTCAGCACGAATCAGCATCTGAGTTTGAAGTTGGTTATGCTGATTCCACATGTTCAGATATGAGTTTTCGAATAAAAACAATGTTTAACCGCCACGGTGCAGACGAACGTCTACGTGCACGACATGTAACAAAACTATCGGAATGAAACTCAATCAAAAACAAGCAAAGTTGGCCGGCTGACACCGCTGACACTGACAGAAATCAAATGAAAGAAAGTCTGCCGCTGGCGGAGTCGCTGGCTGCGATGACAGATAAAATGTCAAAATTAGTGCTGCTCACTAGGTATATTGAGTGACCTACGCTACGGATTTATTTTTTCGGATACGGGTAGTGTAGGTGAAAATAACTTCGAAACCAAGAAGTTGTCCAAACTTCTATGAAATTTAGAATTTTTCAATAAATATGACCGATATCTCCGGATCCAGGTCTCCGGATTGCGTGTATTCTAGCCCTACACAATCAACAAAAACGTCATATGAGTAAGTCATCAACTAAAATTGCCTACAAAAAATTTTGAATATTGAGATGTTTATTTGAGATCTATGTTTATTGTTTATGAGATATCGTATAATAATTTATTTCATCGCATTGTGGGCAGCACTACTACCACAGAGTAAACTACTACATAGAAAATCAATCTGACCAACATGATAAAATTAATAATTGACCAAAAGCAAAGAATTTTGGCACAAGTACACTATGCGGAATATTGTCCCACCAAGTCGAAGCGCATACTGAAGTACGAGCGACCCACGGGTTAGGAAATGATGCATGTATTAGTAGAAAAATAAACAGAAGGACTTGCTTTAATTAATTCTTTATGAAAAGAAACTGAAAATTTATTTTATTTTATTTAATGAAATTTAAGGAAAGTATTGCCCTCTCCTTCGTTATCTTCTCAAAGTATTATTCAATGTTGTCTGTGGTATTTTTTTTTCGGTGTATTGGTATTTGGTAAAAAATAGTCGACGTCACCGTGGTATGGCGGACATATTTCTTCCGACATTTTGACATTTCTCTCCCGGTTAGTTCTAATTGGAATTGTAATTCTTCTTTGTGCTTCTCATCATGGATGAAGAATACGACGCAATTGTTTTAGGCACTGGCCTTAAAGAATGCATTCTCAGCGGAATGCTGTCGGTGTCTGGGAAGAAGATATTGCACATTGATCGTAACAAGTACTACGGCGGAGAATCTGCGTCAATTACCCCGTTAGAAGACTTGTTCGCAAAGTTCAACGCACCCCCGCCGGATGAGACCTATGGCAGAGGCCGCGACTGGAACGTGGACTTGATCCCGAAGTTTTTGATGGCTAATGGTTTGTTGGTAAAACTTCTTATCCATACGGGCGTCACCCGTTATTTGGAATTCAAGTCGGTGGAGGGTAGCTATGTCTACAAAGGTGGAAAGATTTCCAAAGTGCCAGTGGATCAGAAGGAGGCTCTGGCATCCGATCTTATGGGAATGTTCGAAAAGAGGCGTTTCCGCAACTTCCTTATCTATGTGCAGGACTTTCAGGAGGAAGACGTCAAGACCTGGAAGGATTTCGACCCTAGCACAGCCAACATGCAGTCGTTGTACGACAAGTTCGGCCTTGATAGAAATACCCAAGATTTCACTGGCCATGCTTTAGCATTGTATCTTGATGACACCTATTTGCAGCAGCCTGCTATACAAACCATTCGTCGTATAAAACTATACTCCGATTCTCTTGCCCGATATGGAAAGTCTCCATACCTCTACCCAATGTATGGTTTAGGTGAACTTCCTCAAGGTTTTGCCCGACTGTCTGCTATCTATGGGGGCACCTACATGTTGGACAAGCCGATTGATGAGATTGTGCTCGGGGAAGGCGGTAGAGTGATTGGTGTTCGCTCAGGCAACGAGATAGCCAAGTGTAAGCAAGTCTACTGTGACCCCAGCTATGTCCCTGATAGAGTGCGTAAGAAGGGCCAAGTCATTCGTTGCATTTGCTTACTAGATCATCCAATTTCCAATACCAAGGATGCTTTGTCCACTCAGATCATCATTCCGCAGAAGCAGGTTGGAAGAAACTCTGACATCTATGTGTCCCTGGTGTCCTACACACACCAGGTGGCTGCTAAGGGATGGTTCATTGCAATGGTTTCCACCACCGTTGAGACAAATGACCCTGAGAGTGAGATCAAGCCTGGCTTGGACGTCTTGGGGCCCATAAGGCAGAAGTTTATCTCGGTCACAGATTACTATGAGCCCACTGATAATGGAAGCCAGAGCCAGATATTCATATCTGAGTCATACGATGCTACAACTCATTTCGAGACCACTTGCCTAGATGTGCTTAAGATCTACAAGCGCGGCACCGATGAAGATTTTGATTTCTCCAAAGTGAAAGTAGAGTTGGGTGAAGAGGAGCAGTGAATGTGTCCTGTCAACTATGTATATTGCTTGTTAACTTTTAATTTTATTTACAAACTGTTCTGGCAACAATAAATTGTTCACTAGGGATTTTTGGGTACAGATTTTTTAAGAGCTTAGATGTATTGGCAGTAGATGATTGTGTATATGTGCAAATATTTTCATAGTAACAGTCCCAGTAAGATTATTTTTACCAAAAATATTTCAAAAATATAAGATATGATAATTATTTAAATAATTTTATTCATCATTTAAGATTGCTTTTATTATTTTAAGTATACAAAGCTGCTATAAAATGGTCTGCACAAGTGAAATGATAGATTTATTTGTATCAAATGATATGCATTCCATTGTGGTACATTATTTGATCCTGTAACCATATCATAATATGTGTAATAATGTCAAAATTATGAATGCTCATACCTATGTATATGTTTTGTGTAAGATCATGAATAAAGTTACAATAAATTAAAAACTGTGTTTTAATTTTGAGTCAGTATTATTTTATTTACACTTATGAATTTAAATAAATAAATATTTCATACAGTATGTAGGACTAGGTTCCATTGACTATAAGTTAAGGACATATTTCAATGAGTAGAGGTGGTCATTCCTGCACCCAATAAATATGTAGTCTCCATAGACTGCAGGGGATGAAAATGTTTCACTGGGTAAGGTATATTCTGCTAAAATGATGCCATTTTCCGAGTCAATCACGCATAGTTTTCCATTATTGGATGCCGCCAATATCAGCTTATCACTTAGGCCACAGGGGGTTGAGTACACAGGAGAGGTCAGTTGCGCCTTCCAATGCAAACTAGGCTGGAAGTTCTTTATGTTGATGCTGTACACTTTGTTGTCATGACATCCAAATACCATTTGCCATTTTAATTTGTCCACTTCTTTCACATATATTGATGAGAATATATTCCCTTTTGCTCCCTGATATTTCCATATCTGTAACAAATTGAAATTAATCATAAAAATAATTGCTTTCGACCTTAATGATAAGTAAATAAGGTTCAAAATATGGTGGTCACAAATATTGGACAGAGCTCTATCTAAAAGGTTTAAAAATGAACAAGGTTATGGGGATTAATTTTGAAGCAAGTTCTTTACAAGTACCTAATTCATTATAGATTGAGTTACGCGAAACATTTGCTGCACAAGTATAACAAGAGCTCACCTTGATGCCTTTTTCCACAGTCCTGCAGTGTATCTCTCCGTTGACTTCGGCGAACACGACGTACTTGTCGTTATCATATAGCACAGGGCTGGCGAACACCGGGCTGCCGAGGGAGCCGCGCCACGCCACTGCGTTGGTAGGCGTATGGATGCTCGCGCACACCCCTGACAGAGTGCCTAAGACTACATACTCCTTCTTCGCGAGGACCAGATCCGCAGATATCGCTTGATCAGTCACTTGGATAGTGTCTTTGATTTCTCCATTCTGAAACAATCAGTATACAATTAATGAGCTGAAGGTACGACAGCAAATCAAAGCATCCAAGTGTAATTGCTATGGGTGCTAGGTCATCATCATCATCATTTTCGCCACAGGACGTCCACTACTGAACCTCTAGGCCTCCAACAATGACTTCCACAACGCACGGTTAGTAGCGGCCTGTATCCAGCGCCTCCCTGCTACCTTTATCAGGTATCTAGGTATTTTGTAATAAATATCGATATACAAACAGTCTTTAAAAAAAGACTGTTTGTACGTAAACCGTAAACCCGTAAGAATTAATGTTACGACGCGCGCGCACGGGTCACTTTTGTCACCGTGAGAGAGTATGCCTCTCTTTTTCTCTTTGAAAAGGTGTAAAAGAAAGAGATATACTATCACGGATAATACTGCCACGGCGACAAAAAATTCACCCGTTCGCGCTCGCCTTTAGTCTCGTAACAATGTTTCCTGTGAATCAGATTCATTAAAGCTAGGTAATGCCTTTTTTAGCAGTCAAAGCACTACGCTTTGAAGTAATCATTACAATGCTAATGTAAATTGTCTGTCTTACATTTTTTGTGTAACAATTTTTTGTTTCCTAGTAAGTGCCATTAGCGCTCAGACAGACAACCGCAAGGTTTAACAACTATTAAAGTTAAGTAACTTGATTGAGTAGACGATGTTTTAAAGTACATAAGTGGTTATTCATTTTGTCTTCATTACTGGCATAAATAAAATCATTAATTTACCTAATAAAGATAACTTTCAGTTCCAAAAGGGAAAACGCCTGACGCAACTGAGTTGCAATTTATTTGTAAAATAGAATTTGACAGAATTCTAATCAGGAGTTTAGTAAAAGTAAGTTAAATATCAAAAAATCTTACCATCACATCAATACAGCGTATTTTACCGTCGTAAGAGGCGATATAAAGCAAACCATTACAGCAAGTGGCTTTACTTTTTATCATTGATTTTATATTGATTTTCCATATCTCCTTGCAGTTTTCAATTGCAAAACAAACTATGGTTCCGTCGTATGCGCCAACCATGCCACATGGCGTTGACATCGACTCCTCGTAATAACAGAAAACAGACGCCTCCACACGTGCTTTCAGCGTTATTAAACCTTGTAATATGCCAGATATGGCATCGATTACAACGATTTTCCCAGAATGACTGCCTACGATTGAGTACAAATTACTGTAAATAAAGAATTCAAATTAGTAATCATTTTTAAACGTAATCAAGTATGTTAGGGCGAAATTTCGATGGCGGGACTCGCTACCGCGATTAATTTCACAAGCAGCGCCATCTTTTGGGAGGCGAAGTAAAAGATTTTTATTTTAACTAGCGGAATAGGAAAATACATGACATTAATTTAATGAAATTGTACTTACAATCCTATTTGAAACAGTGTTGGGGAAGCATCAACACATTTGCCAGTGTCATATGTCCACAGGACTATAAATTCTACAGGATTGCTAGAGCTCTCATGGCTTATTTTCTTAAATGAATTATTATCTTGAATACTTTCCACAATCGATCTGGATCTTTTCATTTTTCTTTTAGGTTTGGTATCTTCTAAACACAACTCCTTTTGGGCTAACTGCATTATTTCATCAATAGTATTTTTCTGGGACATCAGATATGGTAAAATCAGTTTACCAAACTGAGGGCATGTCAAGGACAGCTTGTTGCACATTGAGACTGCCAGGAATGATGTGCCTCCAATCGAGAAAAAGTCTTTATGTTTAATTGCATCATATGTGAAGTTCCTGCTCATTACCACCTGCAGTTCCTTCAGTAAACTCACTTTCAGAGAATCTATTGTTTGAGGCACATTTATCACCTTTTCATACATTTTGGATAGGATCAGTTTAGAAATCTTCCCATGAGGGTTGGTAGGTAAATTATCCACCCTTACAATTTTATCAGGCCAATGTTTGTCATCAAGCTTGCATTTTAGAAAATCAGATAATTCTTGACTAGAAAGAGTTTCAGATGAAAAGTATACCACTAACAGCAAAGGTTTAGGGAGCCATACACAAGAGCATGTCTTGACTCTTGGGCACTGCATGATTGTAGATTCTATAAATTGTAAATTAATTTTGTGGCCAAATCTTTTGACAATATCATCTTTGCGACCCCTGTAATAAATAGTGCCATTTCTTACTTCTGCCAAATCTCCAGTGTCTAAAAATTTTAATGAGTTCTCTTCTTCATTTCCTTTAGACTTATTCAAAATTATACATTTTCTTGATTTGCTAACTGGAATAGGAAACAATAGGTGGTGAGTGAGAGGTCTCTGAGGTAATTGAAATGCAATTCATAATTTATATTCTTTATTAATTTACATACTTAATATTTTATTGTATTCATTATGTACTTAAAATTCATAAATAATCACTTACCTAATATTATTTTTCCAGTATCCTTATTTGCATTATTGTCATGCTCTATATGAATCTGTGTCTCTGAAAGGCAATTCCCTAGAGGGACTTCTCTATCTGTCAGTATCCTGCTAAGGTCCAGCTCGGCTGCACACGCCCAACAAGACATTTCAGTGACTCCATAAAGAGTGTATATCTTGGTTTTATTATTCCAATCTTTCAGTTCCTTCAAGCGTTTGATGCCATTCAGTGGTTCACCTCCAAGCGCTAATATTTTCAGAGTGGAATTAGCACTTAATATTTTATTTTTTATATCTGCATTTGAATGTTGGAAGAACTTTGATGGGGTTGTCTGCCAGAATGTTATGGAGTGGTTGCTGTTAGAAGGGAAAAGGATGTCAGGCTTCTCTGGTGCTATGAGGAGGGAGGCACCGTTCATACAGGCGAGCAGTATTTCAATCATAGACGGGTCAAAGGTGAGAGGTGTTGAGAAATATATTATATCCTGCGGCCCAATGTTGAAAAGTTTGGTCAAGTCATCTATGTTTGGCTGGATGCACTGTATGGGGACTTGGATGTGCTTGGGGTCGCCGGTGCTGCCGGATGTCATGGCAATGAAGGAGTGCTCTGGAACATGTCTGTTATTCGCTTGCGGCTCTAAGTCATAAAACTTTATCTCTAAATCAAAGACTGATACAATTTTATCTGGTTTTTTACTAAACAATTCTGATGAAGTACTAGCATCTTTTTCCTGGATTTTGATGAGGACATTAAACTTGACATCATTTGCGATATTTTCAATATCCTGTGATGGATCCAAAAACATGAATGTTGTGCAGCATTTGTGGGCCCTGAAACATTGTAAAAATGCAGGGATGTTAATAAGTATTACAACACTTTATTACTTAATTATAATGCTAGCGCAAAACGGACTTACGCAGCTATAACGCATGGTATTATGATATTCCTCTCCGATACTAATCCAATTATGCCTTTGTTACATTTCAGTTGTTGTAAGTTTTGTGATATGTACTCGCATACTCCATATAATTCCGAGTATGTGTAATTTTTATAGATGCCATTATCGTAGTGTCTCACGGCGATGCTGGAGGGGTTTTTAGCACAAGTTTGTACGAATACATCGTAATAACCACGCTTTAATTTCATTAGGACCTTTGGAACACAAATAAGTTATTGCACGATATAATCAATAGGAGATTATGAAGTATGACTTTTATTGCAAATTATTAGCTGCATAATATTGCAAATGATATCACTGCTGGCACTGCTGCTAAAATTATAAATTGTTAGAAGTTTTTATCCATTTAGCAGATTGACATGTTTGACACCCAAAATAATAAACAACAACGTATAAAATCGTTTTACTAAACTTATTACATTTATCACACTATCATGAAAATTAAATCAAACATAAAGAAAATTTTAACATAGCTGATATTTTCCCGTGTTTATTGCAAACTTAGGTATAATAAAATTAACGAAAAAGAACAGAACGCGATATATTTGACATATGTCAGAGATCTGTCAAAATTTTAAGTTTTT